AAAAATGTGGCAATAATACAATAGAAAATTCTAGATATTTAATCTACACAGCAGTAATGTTAGATTAGACTTATTTATTCCCATCAAGTAACATGTAACACATGTAATATATTTCAATTATATTGAATGGGAAATTATTAAAGAAACGTTACATATTACTTGGTGTTTTCTTGAATAGAATTGACTATTTATCTAATAACTTTGATTAATATTGTGCGTGTAATTGTCAGTTATATATAAATTGTCTATTAATAATTTCTCTTAATTTAGTTTTTATCTTCTCTTTAATTAGCAGTATGACATATATGAACACGATGAAGTTCAAGGAGATACTACAGTAGCCCGTCCGATTTTGGGATCGGTAAGAGTTAAAAAGTACAAAAAATTACACAAAAGTAAATTACATTTATTATAAAAATTCAAGAATTAGTTATTCTCAAAAGAATTAGAAAAATATGTTACCAAAAACGTTTAATTATACGACTAGTTTATACTATAAAATTGTAATTAGAATTGATTTATTTATCAAAAATTCGTCTACTTTTTTTAAATTGATTGTTCTTAAAATCTGTATTTTTTTAACATGAATTTGAAAATCGATAAAATAAAAACATAATATTATATGTTGCGCGCATAACATAAAATTTCAAAAGTTTAAAATAAATTTTAGTAATTTTGAAATTTATTAATTATTTGTAAATATCAATGTTTCAAATTAAATAAATTATGAAGATTAATAAATAAATAAAATTTTCTAATTTATATCACATTTATATTAGAATATGTACCAATAGAATTAAATAAAAACCATTTATTATTATTACCTTTATGTACACGACATTTTTTTGAATGCATCAGGTTTTATCAATAGTACTTAATGTGGTACTTGGTCTACTAAGCCCGGTGATTACACCACTTCTTGCCTTTATAGTAGATTTTGTGTGTGCGAATGCACCCACCGTAGCAGTCGACGGAGCATGTGACTGTCTAAAAGGGAATATTTAAGAATATGTATTCTTAAAAGGAAAAAGAAAAATATCATGTAAGTTATAAGTAAATTTTAGACGTTAAACATGAAATTATTTTTACCAATATTTTAATGATATTTTTGAATTTATTATATTAATGAATTAATTTTTTTGCAGAAAGGATAACTTTTATCATCGACTTTGTAAAGGCACTGTTATAAAACTATACCTATGAAAAAATGCACTTACTATAAGCACTTAATATTTTTATTATTATTATATAATTTGAATGTACTGTCCCTTTCTAAACAGTTAAATTTTAAAATTATATAAAAATATTACATGTATTTGGAAGTTGTAATAAATAAATAATATATTTAATAACCAAGTTTGGTTGTATTATTTATACTTTTACTGGCATATTTTATAAATTATTTGTAAATAATAGAAA